GGGTTTCATCTTGCTGTTAAATCCGTGTTCTTGTGGTTTTTGTGGTCAATTAATAATTTCCAAGTAGAATCCAGTTCGCTAGGGTTTCATTTCATGTATTGCAATGTTTAAATTAACTAAGGTTTCATTTTATGACATAGTTGCAGCAACATATATGCTTTCTCTCAATTCCTTTTTTTTCATTCAAAGCCTAATTCACATTTCAAAGGATCTGGGTTGGGAGCAGAGAATTTTATTAGTCCTCCATTAGTTAAACTTACAAGAGAAGGTTAATTCATTAATTATTGAATCGAAGTTTGAGCCATTACATTATTTTTTTCCTTTATATGAAAGTTTGCTCGTCAAACAAAATGACGAGTTATATTGAGTAATCAATAATTAGTTATTTTCCGTTAAGTTCGTTACTTCTCAAGTGACCGTTAATAAAAGTTGAATTTTGGCTTGTAGTTAATCGAAAACGACATTGTTTATATTCATTTGGTTTAATAAATAGCTAGGGAACAAGCCCCCTAGGGCACATCCCAACTAGCAAAGATGAGGGCGCTTCAAGGCTGGCAGATCAGAGGTCGTGAGTTCGATTTCTGGAAGGCTCTTGGAAGGCAGATATTCTCCTGAAAGGTAGGATTTATCCTGGAAGGTAGGAGCTCTACGGGAAGGAAAGGTACAAAGATGGGGAACTACTTGTTTGGCACATTGGCAGATCAGTTGGAGGGTTCTTGAGCACTGGTCAATTTGGGGCACAACCTGCGATTTAACCTGTCTGCAGTTTGAGGGGCCAAGGTGTAGACTCCAGGATTTAGTTACTGTAAGGTGGATATCTGGATATCAAAAAAAAAAAAAAAATAGCTAGGGAACAAATGTTGAGGTTGTGGAAGTGGAAGTGTCAAAATAGTTGAGATGTCCCGCTGCACCTATCGATTCGTGTCTATAGCAACTTTATTTAAAAGAAAATAGAAATTGAGTTGTAAATTAATTAAGTTCTCTTTTCATCATTCAAACCTTACGGGTAAATTTAACATGTATAAAAAATGTTTTGAATTAATAAGCCTCGAATTCCATCTAAACCTTTTTTTTTTTTCAGATCAACTTAAAAATCAAATTACTTAAGAAAAATGCAAAAGTGATGATAAATTCATATAACTTTTGGACTATTGTTATCAAGCGTCTACTTAAAATAAGAATTTCATGTGTGTAGGATAGTCTTTAATTTATCATTCACATCTAACAAAATTTATTATAGTTAAAACGTTATGCAAAAACAATAAATGATTCTTATTTAAAGTGAAACGGTTTTGGCATCTTTGTGATTGAAACAACTTGCCAAAAGAGCTTTCTATTTGTACACTTATTTTTAACACTTTAGTTGACACTTGCATTGTTGTCAAGTGTCAATTGGATGAAAAAATTTGAAATTTAAACTGTCCAATAAGATAATGACATGTAACAAAGTATAAACTAAAGTGTATACCATTGTGTACATGTAACAAGGTTCTTGCCAAAATTCACCTTGCATCTCAACTATTCAAGTAAAAGCGATAGATGCCTCGAAGACATTAGATATTCTAACAAATCGCTGATAGATCATATAATGGACTGTTAGTGTTGTATTTTTGAGATTTCATATGTTGTTAGGATACAAATCACAGATTTTGTCATTGCTTGATGCTGCAGTTATAAAACGAGCGCTTCATCCACCTGACTGCAAATCAGCTTCAAATATAGTTTTAAAAGTCACAATAAAGACTTATAACTCATTTTCCCGTTTGTCCGTTTCAACTTTTGCCTGAATCTTTTTGGTGAGAGGTTTTAAATTAAAAAAATATCACACGTTATAGAGTCATTGTTAAAATAATTTGTAATTGTATTATATTGAAAGGAAGAAAGATTCAAGTTAATGTAAAAGAGAAAAAGATTACGGTATAATGTATACTATTGAACAAGACGATAATCAATAGCTATCTTAATTTCTATAAATAACTCTAGTCTATCATGAAAATACTGTTGAAAAAACTAATTAAAATAGACAATAAAAATTTTACATTTTAACTAAATTTGATACAAGGACATTAGCTCGTCTAGATGATAACTTCTTTAGTCTCGTTCTTGATTCTTGAACTTCAACATTGAATCTTGATCTTTAATCTACAAGGGTGTGTGTGGTTTGTATTTTTAATCTACTTTAAGTTCTCAGTTTTGCAGAACATCAAAAACGTGTTTGGTCTGATATTTTTTAAAATGCATTTTTGATGTTTTGGATGTTTTGAGTGAAATTTCTTAAATCACTTAAAACAAGAAAAATAAGCAGTTACATAAATATTTATTAAATTTGATAAAATAAAATCTAAAATTCGGAAAAAAAACAACTAAAATTCTAAAAATATTAAATAAAAATTTGAAAAAATTAAATTATAAAAATTTCTAGAAAATAAAAAATCATAAGAAATAAAAAATAAAAATGTTTAAAACTATTAATCATTATTTACATTAAAATTCTGAAAATATTTAAATGAACAAAAATAAAAGTATTCTCTGTACACGCCATTAATTTTTATTTTTATTTTCTATATTTTGAACTCAATTTATTATTTGTTTTTATTTTACTTTTGTCGTGAGAAAAAATATTATAAAATTCACCAACTTTAAAATGTACATATTATTTGGTTATATATTAATGTAAAATTATTCTATATTTACAGAATAATAAAATTCTATTGAACAAAATGTCATAAAATAATTTTTAAAATTTCAAACTAAACGTGTTTTCTAGTTTTCTATTTTGACGAGAAATAATTTGTCAAAATGATAAAGCAAACGCATTTTTAACAATATTAATATATACCCTCAAAACAACTGAACATTGAAAGACAAATCAAACGAGCCCTAAATTTCCAACCCTCAAATCTTCCTCAATATTTTTCTAAACTGCTGTTGGTTAATAGACATAAAAAACAAATCAATATCATTAATCATTTTCTATAGCGTTGATAATACAAATCATTGATTTCATAATCTTCTAATTGATGTTGCAATCAATATCATTTATATTACATAAAGCAGTATCACCAACGTTCAAGGTCCCACATAGCTTGGTAGGATCCATAAACTGGATTAAAAAATACTTACTTCTTAATAGATATCCCAAATCACATTTGTAATTGACATATATTGAATTCAGGACACATTAACGAGTCTTCCATTACAGTCGTGAAAACAGAAGAAAAATGGTGGGAATGAAATAATTTATATTGACGTAGCAACTTTGATGAGGTTTCAATTTATTATAATTTATATGTAATCCTTTTACATATTTTCCATATTATGTTAAGATATTGTTTGGAATAAAATGCACAATTATTTCATACGATGGATATATTTCAAATTATTTTGTGATAATGTGGAATCGATGTGTGTGATTAGATGCACGGTATATGAAATCTTTGAACATGTATCACTTGAAGTCAAATGTCAATTTAATGTGAATATGTTATATTGGCACAATTATGTATAGGCTTATGTGTACATAGTACATGTATGTGGTATCATTGAATCGCTATGTCGCAAATTGATATTCTTGGAGAATTTCGTATACAGGTTCACATGTAAATATACATCATTGAAAGTAAATTTACATGTATCATTGAACCGTTGTGTGGCGTTTCGATATCCCAGTAGGATGTCCAAATATTAAGATGTATTAAATTAAAATGGTTAATATAAAAAATACTGAAAAAGGGGTCATCTATTTTACATTCATTTTCAATTCGGTATATTATGTCAACATTCAAAAATTGGATATCAATTGTTACGTGACAAATGCTTCAGTGGCCGGGTGTGTGCATGATTTTCTCCCAAAATTAAACATAAGAATTTCATCTGCGGCGTAAAACACAAATGTACATTTAGAACTCGATGCAAAATGGCATATCCAGATTTATCAAATCAGACAAAGCGAGCAAACATGACTTAACAAACATTACTAATTGAAAACTGTCATAAAATTAACATCACACCAACATCCTAAAAAAATCAAAACAAGCCATTCAAGAAAAACATCGGGGAAAAACTATTCCCAAGCAATACTAATTGAAATCTGCCACAAGAATAGCGTCACACCAATGTACTAAAAACATCAAAACAAACTATTCCCACAAAATTATCTACAAATCAATGGAATAAATAATATCAAGAAATTGATTTTGTGGAATAATGAAAGGGATTTCGATGCTTAAAATCTGTATAATATTAAATTTTGGTGTGATTTTTGGTATTTCTTGAGTTGAGATGATATGGGAGGAATGTGAATGGACACCAATTTGGAGATTATTACATTTTGTTAGGGGCTTGTTTGGGGGAGCACTTGATTTAATACGTGTGTGAGTTGTTAAAATTTAACAGTTTTCAGTTTACAGTAATAATTCAGTATTTATGGGGAAAAATAAGATGACATTTAATATTTGAATATTAATTAAATAACAGTTACTTGGTGCAATTTCCTCTGAAAACATCCCAAAAAAATCTCATAGCCCAGCCCAAATTGCCACAGACAGTGCCCATGGGCAAATGAGTCCAACTTCCACTGCCATTCAGGTGTCCATAGGTGGTCTTGATGAAGAAGAGTACACGTTTTATAAATTTTTTTCGATGAAACATTCTTTGATAATTTAGATTGCTTAATAAGCCAAAAATAGAAATACCGTAGTTTAGTTATCATTTAAAAAAAAAAATTGAACCCAGAAAAGGTAATTTCGCCAAAACTATCTCCCACTATTTAGTTTAGATATCATAAAAATAATAATAATAATAAATATAAATAAATAAAAATTGTGAACCCAGAAAAGGTAATTTCTCCAAAGCTATCTACCATTATTTGCAGTGGCAAGTAGATATTGTGAGTAATATCACAGCAATCCAAGCTACCCGTTGATGCCAAATCGAATGGTAGATAATTTTAGTAAAAGTTATTTGGTCAAGAAAGAATTTTCAATCGACAAAATAAATCATAAATCTAAAAACAAAAGGGGTCGGGAAATAGCAGTCATAGAAGTGCAAGAACATGCAGTACTAGTTTTTGTACATATAAGGATGATAACAGACTCCACACAAGTCAATATATGCAACATTAATTGAACACTGTCAACATTTGATACCTCAATGAGCAATGAACCAGATGATACAAATTAGGATAAGAATTCCTCCTCCAACCATCAGCTTCATGTGAAGATTTTGCAACCACATTTTTCGACGTAGCTGCCTTCCTTGCCTTTGAAAGCTGTCAGCCTGAAAAAATTGACATGCAAATCAACTCTCGTCTTTTCTGGGCGCATAAAGCAGAAAGCAAGATAATACTCACCTGGAACTGAAGGTTTTCGGTTTTATCCACCAGCAATTCTATCTTTTCACCTCGGTCCAAAACCTGCAGAACAACAGAATTGTCTAGAAATTAGTCCTCCAATTATAACAAGGTTTAATTGGCTACGAGAACTTGAAAGAAAACAGATTCAGAGGAATTAATGCCTTCACCTTGTTCCATCATTCATATAGGCATATAGCCAAAATCAACTTTTCCCTTGCCAAGTATAATATAAATATGTAACTCACATCAAAAAACAGTTTGTATCTCACCTTAACTTCAATATCATCATAAAATCAAGATACAGAGAGTTAACCTACACGTTGGGGTTTAGTGTGCGTATACTGCAATTATATGCGTAACGATAATAGATAAATTAAATATTAGCTAATCCAACCCAATGACTTCACTTCATCTCCTTAAGACAATTTGCTTCCTCTACTGATCCATGGACTCGAACAATTGCCTCCCAATATCATATTTTTTTTTATTCAAAAGGAAGTTGCACCAAACACAATAGAACCATTTGGAGTTGACCGAACTTAAAAAGGAAAAGGAATTTCCGGAAATGAAGAATTGGAGAGTGAGACTATATTTCAGAAGTTTTAGTGTGCATAAATTAATGAGCCATATTTTTAGCATTTGGAAACTGCTATTCGTTCAAGACCCATGACTTTGCATAAAGTTGAAACTTTTGCAAGAGGTGGTGGTATGACAGTGATAGAGAGGAAAGGATTCACTTATTCAAGTGAAGGGTCACACCAGCAGAGCAGAAAATCCAAAATGATTAATCTAAATTCGAACATACCATTAGGCCACAGCACGCTGTTTGGCCAAAAACAGTTTGCTGAATGGTCAGATATAAACTTCAAAGGGTGCACTGTTTGGGTTTTAGATACAACGCTTACGAATTTGACAATCGGACCTCTTCCAAATAGAAGGTGTAGCATGGACATCCATACTAGGACAGCATTTCCAGGTCCAAAAAATCTCGTTCCGTTCAGAAGCAACACTCTTCTGACACTGCAAAACATGTATCCAACAAGCCATGTACAATGTCCATACTTCAGGGACATTGTGGAAGTGTACGAGATGCATGCGCGCGCGCACACACACACACATATATATATTAAAAAATTTTAATAGACACATTTGACCTTTTTGGAAAAATCACGTGTCGGAGTGTTCGTGGCCATACTTGTAAGGTGCAGCACAAAGAATTAAAAGGAGAGAAGGAAAGAAGTAGATAATCTTGTTTGCGTCTCGGGAAGTGCAAAGCATCTAGTAAATTTCTTGTAACTTGTGTCTTGCGCCATCATTGTTGCTTAAATGTCCATCGTTCCACAATGTCTTTCCTGTATTTGTTAAGACTCGTGAGAATATTAAAGATCACCGGTACTCAATCTTCAATAATCCTTTCAGTTTTGATGCATCCACGAAAAGCATACAAACTGTAGTTTCCACAGAATGTTAAATAGAAACATCATAACACCCACCTCCCCCCATCAAGAAAAGGGAAAGGAAATGTTATCAAGGAACGTGTTCCAGTTTTCTAGTCTGGTTTGCCCAATGTGTCCATGGCAACCATATTTGGTCAATTTCATGGAACAATTAATTTCTTTCCTAGTAACATGAAATTAGGTTTCACAGCCAGGTAGCCATCACAATTCTACCACATCTGCTACAGTACTTCGTAAAGCACCAGAATGTCAACAATAGCCAGTAACTTAATTTGATAATTAATACCCACATATTCATGAAGCATAATCATCCCAACAACAAATGACCTTCTTGACTACTTGGAGTTGACTTATCTACAATTCATAAATCAAATCCCACAACATCCTAAACTCCGCATAGAACCAATATGCCAACTCTCCCCCTTGTATTCATCTATATATCAAGTTCTATGAACTTCATATTATAAGAAAAAAATATAGTTAAAACTATTCATAATCACATCAATGCTTAAAAAGAATAAAGTCTGAAACCCATAATCGGATACAAAATTTCCAAACTGACCCAGACTATTAAACAATCTCATCAGTCTATTTTGTTTATAAGTCGAAATGTTCTGAACAGAATAAAAGCACACAGATTTTAGAAAACAATATAGAAATACAAACTACATTTTAATGCAACACAAAAGCAAAAGGGATAATCTGATGATTTAGAGGCACAAGACGATAAGAAGTTAGGAATGCAAAAATAAGTTTTATCAAGGGCAATATTTTGAAATAATCTCTTTTAATAGCCAAAGTGAAAACATGATCACCGTGCAACCAAGTAGAAATAAGTCAAATCACCTTCATCAGTATCCATTACTCTCTCTCTAATAGGTGCTTCCCAACTCAACCATCTCAACCTCATGGTCGAGTTCGTTGAGTACATGACCTCAACCCTAAGGTTACGCTGGTTGAACACTTGTCCAGTTTTTCAAGTTTTATCCATTAAAAAACAGTTCAGTGCTTGTCTTCTTTCCATTCCAACAAGTGCATGTTCTAGAGATTTTTTTACCCTCATGGGCAACTGCTGAAAACATTGTCTTCTTTACCCCTCAAATCATCTCTACAACGAGTATCACAATTCTCCAGACAAAATAAAAATCAGCGCAATCATCCACAAATTGGTCTTATTGTTTTACTCTTTCTTCTTCCCTCTTAATTCATTTGGTAATGTTTGACGTCAGGTGCTAGAGAGTTGACTGATAGAGAAGAAGGATCATGGATTTTTATGAGTTTTATTGGTTTGAAAATTAATTTGGAAGGAATTAAACATTAATCTTTAAAATACTTTTCATTTTTTTCCTCTCTAACATTGTACTTTCTGAAAATTTCATTTTTTTTTTTTCTTTTACGAATAAGAAGAACCCATTCTGAGAGGTTCCAGTTCCACAATAAAGAATTCCATATTAACAAAGAGAGGAGATGAGAGGATGAAATGAGATCAATAAAATAATTAGGTAGAGAGAGAGAGAGACAGAGACTGGATGGACAAAAATGGCTAGTGGTCAGTAGGGTCCCCCATTGCCATATACGGAATTTATTGATCAAAGTTATGGTCAAGAATAAAATTGGAGCATGATCATTAACTCCCTAACCTGAACTGTTTGCCATCTATTCTTCAGAGTATGTCCATTAGCTTTTCTGATTCAGATCATATTTCTCCTATTAAAGTATAAGTTTGTCAACCATAATAATAAAAGGGGGAACAAATCAGCAGCAAATAAAGACAACCAAGGAAAAGAAAGAGGAATAAATCGGTTCAAGGATTAATTACCATTGAACATAAGCATAATTTCGTAAAATTATGTGTGAATCCAAGCTGAGCATGAAAAAAAACCACAATATACATTTTATACTCTGATATTCTTACTACCATTTAAACTGGAATACTCCATGGTGATTTACCTTCTCAATATTGTCCATCATTATCCCTTTGACTTCTGTTATTTGAGCTTTCAATTTGGAAAGCTTACTTATTTCTTCTGGATGATTCATACAATATTCCATATGCTCTTTAAGCCTTGGCCTAGTAAACAGAACACAACATTAAGTCGAGAACTATGTAGACAAAAAGCTAAATAAAGATATATACACACCCAAATTCACGATCAAGATTGTATGCAATGCTAAATCGATCCTCAAACAAATCATTATCGTTGTAGTCATTGTCAGAAAGTGGGTGTGAGTCATTGCTTTGGATACTATCACCATAACGTTGTTTGAAGTCATCCTTCACTTTCTCGAGAAACACAAATGGTACACTTCTTCCCATCGATTCATCAGCAACGACAAGGAAAACTACACATTCAATGAATATTTTGTTGCAGCTATAATTAATTTAAGGAGTAAAATTTACACTATGCTTAAAAAATGCAGATTTAGAGGAGAACTACATACCAAATCCACTGTCAATCAGGAAATTGAATGTATGTCCATCACAAGAGTAAGTGTACTTGCTGCTGTTGGAAGGGAGCTTTTGCAGGCATTGGACAGCAATGGTACTGAAATTTCCCGAGTAGGGAGTGTGCTCTGCTAGAACCACAGTTCCCTTTGCAACAAAACTATAAATCAAGCCTTTCGGACTCATTTCTCAAGCCTCCCTCTGTAAACAACAGACAGAATGAAAGACACCTGTCACTCAGCGGAATAATGCGAGAGAAACAAATTAATATATATACAAGGGAAAAAGAAACAACCCAGTATGAGAATCAACTTCTGAATATGGAACATGGATTACCGAGTAAACTTACAATTAAAGAAAAAAGGTTTCTTTATAGGCAGTTATAAAAAAATAATAATAATAATAAAAAAAAAAATTCCCAACTGAACTACTCTAAATCAGAAGACATAATTACGGAACTGTAATACGGAAAATTTCTCATAGGCCAAAATCTCAAACCCATTTAGGTCAAAACAATAAAATTACAAATAACAAGCAAAATATCAACGAAATAGTAAATATTGATATGTTACCAGTCGAGAGAGGGTAAACACACGCAGAAATCCAAACTTCAATCTAGGTGTAATTACAGAAATCTTAACGATACAATTCAGAACTACGGAAACCCTAACGAATGAAATTCAGGCAAATAAAATTACCTTTGATCTGGATTGAGGAATTAATCCACAGAGATGTTTTTTATCTTCGCGTGCACGAAGGAGAAAAAAAAGGTGAAAGAAGCTCTCTAATTATCTTGGTTAGTTGACATAGACGAATGACTGCACCGTAGACTTCAGTGCGTGAGACACGTGGAATGGAAGTTACTTTTCGAAAAATAATATATCCCCTTGTTTAAGACCCATTTTTCAAAAAAATACATTCTTAAATAATAATTTAACATTATTTTAATCATTCTTAAATAAAATAATATTAAATATTAATTCAAAATTTTTTCTTATTTTTAACGACACATTTCCCATCAATACACTATTTAAAAATTTATTTTTTCCCTCAAAATGGAGATCAAACAAGGGCATAATACTATTTACAATCGTTCACTACAGTAGTCACCCGTACACATGATGGTCAGTGATATGTAACAAATCACTAATTTTAGTTTCTTGGCCAAATGAGGATTATTAGAGCAACTAATATTAAAACTTGAAAGAAAGTGAAATCTTGATCTTCCAAGAGATAAATTCCACAATCGGATGTAAGAAATACAAATTTCAAATAATTCATTAAAGAAGAGCACAAAATTTTCCTAGTCATCTCATGACTTCAAATTATGTATACGTGGGTGTTACGTTTCATCCTATGAGGCAAGTCACGCGACAATTAGCAGCCAAGCAAAGAAAAAGAGGTCGTGCAAGGTCCGCACTTCACTTCACCTCGCTAACCTACGTATTTCTGAAGTGGTTGGCCACCTTTTTTGAGGTGATATCACTTACCTTCCAAGTGGTACTTTCAAGATAAGATGCCACCTCCTTCTACAGTAAGGTTCTTGCAATCTTCTACAAATACCACATCAGCCAAAAGATACTCCATACAAGAATATTGTATACACCTACTGGATTTGGTAGCAATAGTAGATACGCTCAATCAACTTTTTAATCTACTTTTCAAATTGTTTTTATGACATAGAATGGTTGCTTCTTCTTTTTTTCCAACTTTTATCAGGGGTCCACTGGTCTATGACAATTGGGATTGACACATTTTGACTGGGAGTCATCAATATGAGGCAACGTATCAAATATTTAATGGACATCACTTATTCTCTTTTGGTATAAGAGCTCATACTTGATATATCCCATAGAAGAGGTTATTCTAGCAATAAAATAGGAAGCACCACACACATTTCAAATCTCATATTCTCTCTTTAAACCCATCACCCATATTCTCATCCATTGTGTCTTTCCCACACGTAAATATACCTATCTTCTTCACTGCTTGAGCATCAAAGTGCCCATGATCGTTGCACCCCAACTGGAACTACTATCACGAGAAGTGTAACATAGTTATCCAAGAGTACAAGTAATATACAAGTGGATGGCCTCCTGTGGCATAATCCAGTGGTGCAAATGATATGAATGAGGTAGTCTCAGTCTTACTGATAGTCGCAATGTGATGATTTGATTCCTGAGATATAGAATTGGACTATTTATGGGCACCAGTATACGGGCAAACTCTTGTTCACTAGCTTGCTGGGACACATCCCGCAATTTACCTCCCTCACGATGCTCCAGGGATGGGGACGGTGGGGATTCTCAAGGTTGGAGTTCAACCTTTTAATATACGAGTGGATAGAAGAGAAACTAGGATTTTTTGTCCGCACAACACCCTTGGCTTTAGAGATCAACAGATTGTTTGTAGGAAAACATATGTTAACCATGAGTATATCCCATGAACAGTAAGCCTTCTAGAAAACTCATCTTCTTCCCCATTTGGAAAAAAAAAAAAAAAAGTTTTGTTCTTGAATAAAGAACAAGATGAAACTTTGAGAAATCAATCCAAGAAAATCTTCAAACTTTGGAGTCTTTATTCCTTAAAAATGGAAAAAGCAGAATCTTGGAATCCTTATTTTTTGAAAATGAAGAGGCAAAACCTAGAAGTATTTGTCCTTGAAAAATGAGCTTCTTTCCTAGCCTCATCCGTGAAGAAGGCCAATCCTTGGAGAAAAGATTATCTTTGAAGAGAAAAGGAACTTTGATATGAAATGAGCTGAAGTAAAGAGCAAGGAATCAAACCACAAAGATAAGCAGGAGAGGCTTCTAAAAATGAAGTTTCGACAACTAAAGAAAAACGACAGACATGGTTGACAACGTGAGGTACCTCGTGTTGGGAATCTACTTATCATGCACAGCGAAAAAATAAAATAATTTTCAATTCCCACCAGGAATCGCCTTTGTATTTAGATAGAAACTGTGATAGATGTTGTACTTTTTCTAGATCTACAAACTCCTTTGCCACATCTTTGTTCCAGCAACTTGAATCTATCTCCCATAGCTGTCCAATTGTCCAGTCTCCAACGGTGATCCACACAGAAAACAAGATTGCAGGATTATGATTTTCTTCTTATACTAGCAACAATAATGAATTCTCTACAAAATTGTAAACCCTGATAAATTATTTATATAAGTCCAAACGGGTTTGACCTGATCCGATCCAATATTTAATTAATCCATTTAATTAAATTTGGTCCGTAAATTGATTAATTCAATTAATTAATTCAGGCCTATAAATAACCAACTCAATTAATTAATTTATCCAACGATTATTAAATTAATTAATTGACAAATTGCAATCTTTCAATTCTCTTTTGTGTGCGATCCATCAGGTTCTCGATCACGATGTCCAAAGAAGTGAAATATTAGTTTGATCTAATTAAAATTGATAAATTAAAATACCCTTTTATTTTATCATCAGTTCACACTCGCCGTCCTAAATTGACATCTAGCAATGTGTTAGAGCAATACATGTGACAGGAAATGTCACGTGGTATAACAAAACCAAGCTTGTTCGTTTACAGTGAAACTATAATCCCTTCGTCAATATGATCTGATCAATTACGAGATATGAAAGTGTGTTAATCTTGACTATTGATCATATCTTTCACTCCACCATTAAGTCAATATAAGTCGAAAATTCATTTTCGACTTACGAGTACACTTTGGCCAAGGTTTCGTTATCGAGTTAACTGAATGAAACGCAGATCATAATCTCTTACTATCTAAGGGTGACGAATCATCTATTCGTTATTCACAACTTTCATACGATTCTTGACATACCCGAACGATATCGCATTAGCGACCCTTGACAGAGCAACATCCAACACTGTCAAAGTATGACTGTCCTCATATAAGGTATCATGACGACTTCAAGTCAAATAACCAATTCCACTACCGAACGTTAGAGATTAACCACTGATACTCAGATAGTTATCCATGTGGAATCTCTCGGTGGGTCTCCAATGTTTTGTTCTATAACAAAACATCCACGTGTTCATTTAAGTGTCATCATACTTTAGCTTGTGAGATCAGCTACTTACTTCATAAGTAAGAAATGTCACACGTGATGGTCTATCCGTAATAACAATATCCGTATCTAGTTACTTACAACTACGGATACTTTAAGATTCAATCATATGTAATTTGTATATCACAATTACAACTCCTTGTGATTAACAAATTACGAAGATTTGAATCTAAAGACTTTATTTAATTTAATTGTCTATTAATTAAATAATAGATCTGCCATTAAATTGCATTAATTAAATATTAAAAGTATTTATGTCCAAAGTTGATTGGACCTAGGCATAACACTTACAAACTCCCACCTGCACTAAATCCAATCACTTGTGTATCCAATATCATAAGAGTTTACATGGCGATCATGTTTATGCTACGACAACTCTTTGTCAGTGAATTTGCAATATTGTCAAATGTGAAAATTCGTTCTTCTCTTTAGTCATTTCTATGTGTTATCTCTTTGATGAGATTATATTGCCTTAATATATGTTTGGATCATTGATGAGACATTAATTCCTTCAATTGCGTGATCGTTCTATTGTTATCACAATACAATGGCTTGTGATCAACAATATTAGGATCTATCTCAAGTTTATTAATGAACATCTTGATCCATATTGCAACTCATTGTTGCTTCTAAAGCAATCATGTATTAGATTTCTACCAATAAATCAACGGTTGTTTCACGTTTAGAACTTTTCCAACATACGGCTTAAGAGTAAACCAATTTCTCCATATAAAATCTTCTTAGAATTTTATCTATGTAGATTGGGATAAGTTAAGCAATCTTCTAGATCTATCTCTATAAATCAAGTTGCTTCTCTTATACACGAATAAATCCTTTAACAACTATTAATTCAACGATTGAAGAATAGGTATGTTGTTTTCTACAATACCAGAAATGCAACTATGCTCACACTATCTTCTTGTAAACACACAATTCTCCTTTATATTTGATAAGATCAAACATTTTGATTTTTCTATCAAATTGAAGATTTCAGCTCCAAGAGGCTTGCTTTAACCCATAGTCACGGTATGCAACTGTTGCAAGCAAAATTCGAATGGATTTCAGCAAGGCTATAGGAGAAAGGTTTCACCAAGGTCAACACTTAACATTTGTTACTAGCTTTGCTTTGCATGCATGGATATTCCCATCCACATCGGCCTTTTCCTTGTAAAACCATTTACAATATATGGATTTTATTCCATCAGGAGGGTCGACCAAGGTCTAAACCTTGTTTTCATACATTGAATTCACTTCAGATTCCACGGCCTTATGCCACCTATTTCAGTCAACACTTGACTCTACTTCTGTGTAAGTTCTAGGTTCATCATCATTGATTAATAATATTTGATTAGTAATTGTAGATTCGTACCTTCTTAAAGGTTGAATGATCCTACTAGATTTAAATGGAGCTGTCATGTCCTCAGGAGTCTTTACTTCCTGATTAAAAGTATGCCCCACATCAGATATGGGATCAAACTCAAATTCATCTACTTGGTTAAGTATATCTGTGGATTCTTGTACTCTTTCAAGTTCTATTTTGTTCTCACTGTCCTTCCCTATAGTAAACATTTTTTCTAAGGGGAAAATATGTCATGAGACGAAAACTTTCTTTTCAATGAGATAATAGAATTGATATCCAAATATTTTTTTTGGATATTCCACAAATATGTATTCATCGGATATATATATTGAAATTTATCCGATTCAATGAGCTTCAAATAAGCGTTACAACCCCAAATTCTCATATGAGATAAGTTGGAACTATTACCTTTCCATAGCTTATACGAAATTCTGTTAACTAACTTAGATGAGACATGATTTAGTGTGTAGCACACTGCTATCAGTACATGACTCCAAAATGATTTTGGGTGATTTGCATGGCTCATTTTAATTGGACTATATTTAATAGTTTACGATTTCTCCGTTCAGATACACACAATGTTGCAGTATATATGGAGAAGTTCACTGCAAAGAATCTTATTCTCTCTTAGATAATCTAAATTTTATTTTTAAAATATTCTCATCTTGATCAGATCTTGATGCGAGAATATCTCTACATATTTATTTCTCTACTTTCAATTTGAATCTCTTGAACATTTCAAGAGTTTCATGTTTGAATTTCATCAAGTATACATGATCATTGATGACATAAGAGAAACCTCATCTGACATTATTTAACATGGGTCCGTACACATCACTATGTATTATGTCAATATTTATGCAGACTTATTTCTTTTCAAGTAAAAGGGAATTTGGTCATTGTGCCAAACAGACATGTTTTGCACTTGTCAAATGATTCAAAATTAATTGATTCCACATATACATCTCTATGTAATATTCAAATTGCATTTTATCTATATCACCAAGTCTGCAATGCTAGATTTAGATATTATTTAGATTACCACATTTATATCTTTTAACTTCTATACTCATTACAAAATGCTTAGTGTTTAGAATATAAATGTTATTTTTTTCTAGTTTACCATAACTATAAAGATCTTAATCAAGATAAGCAGGAACAACAATTGTCCTTAACATTAAGATAGTTCATGTTTGAACATGAAATTCATTTTAATGTTCCAGCTATTGTGGGTACAAAGCAACATTTCTATAATTCCAATACTAAGCCAAAAGCAAGAAGTATGCTCCTACAGACAATGCAGCAATCTTTGCTCATCTTTAACGTGTAAGTCAACTTCTGATATAGGACAACTAGTTTTGGAGTTTGAAGAAGTGTTGGACAGAAAATTAACAAAGAAAAACCGCACCAGGGGCAATTTTGTCATTTGTCGCGAAGGTACCGGAATGTGCTGAAATTTGGCAAGTTGATTGGAAATGGTCCGAGAAATTGGACTCGGGGAAAAGGCCCGAGAGCTCGAGATTTTAGCCAAATCCCTTCGTTTAGGCCTCCGAATAATTAATTTTCGTATTTTCCGTTTTGAATTTTCGCCATTTTTGAAACGTTTTATTTTTTTATGTTTTAGGGTTTCTTGTAACGCCTATTTAATGGCTTTTGGAACATTTTCCGTCATCATTGAATAATATACAAGTTTCATTCTTGGAGAATTTCAATTTTCTTATTTTCAAGATTTACGTTGGTAAATTTTTTGTTTTTTCTTACTTCCGTTCTACGTCAAGTGGTATCAGAGCGAGGGTTTGCCTTGTTCTTCAATGGCCCACAACAACGATGGAGGAAGAGTTCATCCTCGTGACGCTGGTCGCAGGGAAACAGATGCAGAACTGTGGGCGACAATTGACGAACAGCGACAATCGATGGGGAGGTTGGAGGCTATGGTTCAGCGTTTGTTGGAGCAGCAACCAAACCCTCTGTCTGTCAATCTTCTGGCCCCGGGTGAGGAAGATGCCAATGGTCGACCTGGTGGCAGGCGTCCTCATAGGGTTGCAAGAAACAGACAACCTGAAGGTTTCAGCGATGTGGATTCTGAGGATGAATTTGCTAAATACCTAGAAAATCCACAAGTAAATCGGAATCAGTCTGATTATAGGATTCGGGTAGACATACCATTGTTCCCTGGAAAATTGCAGATCGAAGAATTTTTGGATTGGATTTCTGAGGTCTAGAGGTTCTTTGACCTTACTGAGGTTACAGAGGAACGACAGGTGAAATTGGTTGCGTATAAATTGAGAAGTGGGGCTACTATTTGGTGGGAACGGTTGTAGATGGATAGGCGACGTCGGGGCAAGGCACCTATCCGATCTTGGAGATGGATGAAACAACTTATGATGAACAGGTTCTTGCCACCTGATTATGAACAGTTCATATTTCAAAGTTTCCAGAATTGTGTGCAGGGAAACAAATCAGTTGCAGACTATACTAAGGAATGGTCCAGACTTTCTGTTTGGAATAATCTAAGCGAGTCAGAGGAGCAATAGGTTTCCAGGTATTTGGGAGGATTAAAACCATCCATTCGAGATAAGATTGGACTGCATGTTGTGTGGACGGTAGATGAGGCGCATAACCTAGCGCTGAAAGCAGAATTGATGGAGGAAATGTACGCTCGTTCTTCCAACTATAAGAAGGACATGGGTGAGTCATCTTACACAATGGCGAACAGAGGCAGATTCACTCCTGGTGAAGTCCAGACTCCTTTTAAGTCTGTTGCTGATCAGGCCCAAAGAAGTGTTGTCCCCAATAATAACCACGCTGGGACTCGCCCAGCAACAGTTGCAAAGGAAGCCCCGTAAGCGCCAAATCCATATACTAAACCTGCTAGTTTTAAGTGCTACAGATGTGGCCAACCGGGTCTCGCTCGAATGAATGTCCAGCCAGGAGGTCAGTGAATTTTGTGGATGCTGGAGAGAATGGTGAAGAGAAGCAGTATGTAGAGGAAGGGGTTGAAGTGGAGGAACTATTGGATAGAGCAGAAATTGCAGAAGAGTAGGGAGAGTTTGTAAACTGTGTGGTTCAGCGTGTCATGTGCTCAACAAAGGTGGAGGAGTCCTCGTAGAGAAATAATATTTTTACGGCTTTTTGCAGTGTACAAGATAAGGTCTACATTTTGATTGTCGATACTGTTAGTTGTGAGAACTTCGTGTCCAAGAGGCTGGTGGAGCATCTGAAGTTGCGGGTTGAGAAGCATCCGAAACCTTATGTGATTGGGTAGATTCAGAAGGGGCCTAAAGCGAGCATGACAGAAGTGTGTAAAGTCCTTATCTCAATTGGCCAGCACTACCGAGATGAAGTGGTTTGTGATGTTGCCGACATGGATGCTAGCCATATGTTGTTGGGGCGTCCTTGGCAGTTTAACGTGGATGTGGCCTATAGGGGGTGTGATAATGTGTATGTTTTCAATTGGGAGGGTAAAAAAATTGCCATGGTCCCAAAACGAAACCCAATTGTCCCTACTATGGTTACTGCAGAAGGTCAACCTCTACTTTCTTTAGTAACTTCAGTAGCTGATTTCGAGTCAGAGGTGAAGGAAGCACAGGAGGTCCATGTGGTGGTAGTACGAGCCCTCGTGATAGAGGAGAAAAATCAACCTGAGGTGGTGATACCAGGAGCGGTGCAGTCCCTTTTGGATGAGTTCAGCGAGCTGGTATCTGATGAGTTACCAGATGACCTCCCACCTTTGAGAGACATTCAGCACAGTATTAACCTGGTGCCTGGAGCAAGTTTGCCGAATATGCCTCATTACCGGATAAGTCCGAAAGAAAATCAAATTTTGCAGGAAAAGATAGAGGAGTTACTGAAGAAAGGGTTTATTCGTGAGAGCATAAGCCCTTGCGCTGTGCCTACCTTATTGGTCCCAAAGAAAGACGGCAGTTGGAGGATGTGCGTTGATAGTCGCGCGATTAATAAAATCACCGTTCGGTATAGCTTCCCAATTCCGAGACTGGATGTCATGTTGGATATGCTGGATGATTCGAAGTTGTTTTCCAAGATCGACCTTCGAAATGGGTACCACCAGATTTGAGTTAAACCCGGGGATGAATGGAAAACAGCATTCAAAACTAAGGATGGGCTCTATGAATGGTTGGTGATGCCTTTCAGGCTACCCAACGCGCCAAGTACTTTTATGCGAGGTATGAACCAGGTATTGCGGCCTTTCATTGGAAAATATGTTGTGGTTTACTTTGATGATATACTGATTTATAGTCGTAGTGAGGAGGAACGCATGAAGCATCTTCAGCTGCGCTAGCGGTGTTGTTAGATAACAAACTGTTCATTAATTTAAAGAAGTGTAGTTGGTGGACAGAGCGACTTTTATTCCTGGGGTATGTAGTCAATTCCAAGGGGATAATGGTTGAAGAGGAAAAGGTGAGAGTCATTCGTGATTGGTCTACACCAAAAACAGTTGGAGAAGTAAGAAGTTTTCACGGATTGACGACATTTTACCAGAGATTTATCAAGGATTTCAGCAGCATTGTGGCTCCCATTACAGAATGTCTGAAGAAAGGTAAATTCCAGTGGGGTGAAGTAGCTAGCACAACCTTTACAATCATCAAGGAGAAATTGTGTACCACTCCTGTCCTTGCACTACCCAGTTTTGAGAAGTTGTTCGAAGTAGAGTGTGATGCTAGTGGAATTGGGGTCGGAGTGGTCTTGTCACAAGAGGAGAAGCCAGTGGCATTTTTCAACGAGAAACTTAGTGATGCACGATGAAAGTGGAGTACATATGACCAAGAATTCTATGCAATTGTTCGGGCCTTGAAACATTGGGAGCACTACCTGATTCAGCGGGAGTTTATACTCTACACCGACCATCGGGCTTTGAAATACTTGAACAGCTAGAGAAATTTAAGTAACATGCATGCTCGGTGGTCGACTTATTTGCAGAAATTCCCATTTGTTCTGAAACATAAATCCGGAGTTTTGAATAAGGTAGCAGATGTCTTGAGCCGACGTGCAAGCTTGCTGGTAACCATGTAGCAGGAGGTTATTGGTTTTGAGTATCTGAAAGACTTATATGTGGAAGATGAGGATTTCGCGGAAGTGTGGGGAAAGTGTGTTCTGAAACAAACAGATGGCGAGTTCTATATAGTTGACGACTACCTGTTCCATGGCAACCAGTTGTGTATTCCGCGAAGTTCTTTGAGGGAGAAACTAATACGAGAACTATATGGTGGCGGCTTGAGTGGTCACTTGGGACATGATAAAACTATCAGTGGGGTAGCCGAGCGATATTACTTGCCTCAGTTGAAGCGCAACGTGGGAAATTTGGTCCGTAAGTATTATGTATGTCAGACTTCAAAGGGGCAAGCTCAGAATACTGGTCTATACATGCCTCTGCCTGTACCAAATGCGATATGGGAAGATTTGTTGATGGATTTTGTTTTGGGGTTGCCTCGAAACGTGGGGTAGATTCTGTATTTGTTGTGGTTGACAGGTTTTCCAAAATGGGGCATTTTATCCCATGCTGAAAAACGTCCGATGCTTCTCACGTAGCTCAGTTATTCTTTTGTGAAGTGGTTCGGTTGCATGGAGTCCCTCAGTCCATCACTTCTGACAGGGACTCGAAATTCCTTAGTCATTTTTAGGTTACATTGTGGCGGAGGATGGATACTACTCTGAAGTTCAGTAGCACAGCACACCCACAGACTGATGGGCAGACCGAAAATCTGAACAGGACACTGGGGAATTTGATACGCAGCATTTGTGGTGATAAGCCAAAGCAGTGGGATGTGGCGTTGGCGCAGGCCGAGTTCGCGTATAATAATGCAATCCACACTGCCACTGGTAGATCTCCTTTCTCTTTGGTGTATTTGAAGCCTCCTAACCATGCATTGGACTTGGCTCGCCTCCCTAAGGTTGCTGGTTCCAATGTGGCTGCAGAAGATATGGCTGAACAGGCTTGTGATGTTCAGGAGGAAGTGAAGGCTCGGTTGGAAGAAAAAATTGCGAAGTATAAGGTTGCGGCAGACAGCAAGAGGCGTGAGAAACTATTTGTGGAAGGTGATCAAGTGATGGTGTTTCTGCGCAAGGAAAAATTTCCTGTTGGTTCCTACAACAAGCTGAAGCTGAGAAAATATAGGCCATACAAGGTGATCAAGAAGATCAATGACAATGCATATGTGATCGACCTGCCTGCTAGTATGAAAATCTCTCGCACTTTCAATGTGGCTAATCTGTATGAGTTTCGCTTTACCCGGAATATAACTCAGGGTCGAGTTCTTCACAAGTGGGGGGGACTGAAATAGGACAACTAGCTTTGGAGTTTGAAAAAGTGTTAGACAGAAAATTAACGAAGAAAAACCGCAATAGGGGCAATTTTGTCATTTGTCGCGACGGTGTCGGAATGAGCTGAAATTTGGCAGGTTGATTGGAAATTTTGCCAAATCCCTTCGTTTAGGCCTCCGAATAATTAATTTCTGTATTTTTCGTTTTGAATTTTCGTCATTTTTGGAACGTTTTATTTTTTCTATGTTTTAGGGTTTCTTGTAACGCCTATTTAATGGCTTTTGGAACGTTTTTTTTTATCATTGAATAATATACAAGTTTCAGTCTTGGAGAATTCCAATTTTCTTATTCTCAAGATTTACGTTGGTAAATCTTTTGTTTTTTCTTACTTTGGTTCTGCGTCAACTTCTCCCTTTCACAGTGGTCTACTTCTATTTAGTTTCTCCATATTTATATAAATATAAAATCTACATCTGGTATCAAGTACCTAAGAAATTCGTAAAGTAGACGTAAGCCGTGCAATATTTCTTCCAATGACCTTTCATTCTATAATGAAACCAAAGGTCATTAGATTTGGTATTTTCCTTCGCTTTGACGGTCTTAACCATATTGGACGCTTTTACAAAGCCCCTTTACACTTCCTCTTAATATGTTTAGATGAATCAATGGTTTGCCCACTACTAACTTTGATATCAGGCTTAACAGTCTTAAGCAGGTTAAGTAACTTAATGAATGTGCATTTGAGCTTATTCATATTATAATTCATAATTAGTATGAATAATTCTATGATAGAGATTACAAAACTAAGTCAATACTTAGTTCATAGTTTATGATTGAACCTAATTAAGACCACTTCTCAATGCCAATCATCTTCAATACATGAGCACTGACCAAAGATTCATCTGTCATTTTGCAACGGTATAGTTGATTGGAAGTCTCATATCCTTCCATAGATGATTATTATCACACAACTCTTTGAAATGAAAAATCACGTGCTATCATTTATACTCTTATATTGCTTTGGTAACTCAGGTGACATAATGCAAACATCACACATGTTGCAGTACTATTGTCATCACTGCTTTTATTATAGCAGTCACCCTTTCCTTAATATTCCTTAATAGAGTCATCAGCAGATGTCTCTAGAAAGGACTACTCAAGGACATAACCAATTTTCTCATGCCTAAGAACAATTCTCAAATTGTAATGCCAATCAAGAAAATTTTGATTTTGTTGTTGGCGTCTAGCATAGCACCCAAATACACATGATTACTCATGATTCAATAAATATAAATAACAAAAAAAAAGAATAATATATAAAATGCATCAATTAATTTAACATGGACTTTTATTAAATTAATTATGCTCCCACTGTTTAATTTAAATTTATGGCCCTCTCACATAAATTTATGGAGTCCATACTTGATTCCCAATAGACTGTGATCATATCTGTTATATTAAGACCTTGAGTGTACTTAACACGTTAAAATAAAATATTTGGGTAGATACTATTATCAATTGTATTTCTATACAACTCCCAGATCATTAAGCCGACAACTCTTTGTCTTTACATATCTTATGTGTTAGCTTAATATACCTCTAAAATTTATTTCCTTGAGTGTACTCAAGAAAAGATAAATTTTAGTTAAGTCAAACTCGTCATTCAGAAATATAAAATATTTCATAATGTTAAACATATTCCTAATAGACTTACCTTTAGTGTACTCAACAAATTAAGACGATTTGGGATCGGGACTCTGGTTTTAATGATGGGAGGCGATTATAAACGTGACTTAGTATTTTATTGGGGGTTTTTGCATTCGAAAGTTTCATCGAAACAATCATATATGTTATATTACACATTTACCATGCAAATAAACATATATATAATATAATGTAATAGTGTAGACAATTATGGACTTTTAGTATCTAGTATTCCCGAGTTATAAGGAAGACTAGTTGGTCAATTCCTAGGGGTTATTGCATTGATCATAAACGCTCCATCTCCATGGTCTCCTCCTCTTCTTGTTTCTTCAATTAGTCCCACTACAACTTGTATCCTATATTAGTTGGCACATTGGCCTAAATGAAATTGGACTCGCTGGTCCAAAATGATTAAGAGCTTGTAGGCCCACAAAATGACAATAATAAAAATCAACCATTCAACACATCCATATGGTCGGATCCATAAACGTCCACTAATAGTACATTCATCACATAAATGTAGACTAACATAATATCTAATATTATATGCATATACGTTTCAAGAATCTAGCAATTAAGGTCGTCTAAACTCTTTTAGACAAATGGATCGGAACAATTAAATAATTAATTAATCGTATTAATCAATTAATTTAACTAGCAGGCATATTTAATCAAAATCAAATTTTAAATTAGAGTCCAACTCTAATTCCACAATTATAGGGCGAGGCTATTTAATTAAAATCAAATTTTAATTAAATAAATCAAATTAGAGTCTAACTCCAATTTCAAAACTTTAGGCGGTTGAATTTAATTAAATAGCAAAATTAGAGTCCAACTCTAATTCCAAGATTTTATGGCTAATATATTTAATTAAATGTGAAGAAATTTAGGGCGAAACAATTTAAGCAAAATCAAATTTTAATTAAATGTCAAATTAAAATTCAATTCTAAATTCAAGAAATATTAGGGTGAATTATTTAATTAAAATCAAATTTTAATTAAATATTAAATTAGAGTCCAACTCTAATTCCAAGGAAAATTTTAGAGTAAGACAATTTAATTAAAATCAAATTTCAATTAAACGTCAAATTAGAATCTAATTTTAATTTCAAGAATATATTCGGGTGAATAATTAATTAAAATCAAATTTTAATTAAGTATTAAATCAGAGTCCGACCCTAATTTAAATTGTATTAATATTTTAATCTAGGATAAGACTTCTAAATAAAATAAAAATTCAATTAGGGTCAAAGTTTAATATTTAAGTTAAAATTCAATTTCAACGAAAATATAAAACGTCGTCAATTTTAAATAAGATCTTAATTTGGGTCAAAATAGATAATATAGGTCAAAACCCATTTGAAATTCAAATTTAAATTCATTCTAAAATTTGTACTCAAAGTCCCCATTTCCAAATTGCATTCTGACCCAACAGAATATCGTAAAGGGCCCCCTTCAATTTCTGAAATTGCATGGCAGCCCTCCATTTAAAATTTACAAATTGACCCCCAGAATATGAATTGCAAGCAAGGGCTAGCAATTTCACAAATTGCATGTGAACCCCCCGCCTCCAATTCACCTACCCGAATGAAGGAAACCCTAGACCTTTTTTTCCCCCCTCCACGACGGCACCCCATTTACCGAGCAAGACTCGTCGCCTAAAGCAGCACGAAGGCGTTTACCGAGCAAGACCCGCCGCGTGAAGCAGCACCTGCCTGTTGGTGCAAGGGCGAAGCAGCATGCGTGGCGACGGTCACGAGCGGCGTTCCGCCGTGTGCGGCCACCCGCCATTGCCCCTTATTTTATTTTTTTTGTTGTTGTAATTTCCAATCCAAAATTATTCTTTTCTCAAAACAAATTTTGAAAATGAAAAATAACTCTAAATTGCTAGATCTGAGAAAAACATGATAAATCAACTTTTGATTTTAAAAATATGTAAATCAATTCCTAACAAACACAAAGTTGGCTTTGATACTACTGTTGGGAATCTACTTATCATGCACAACGGAAAAATAAAATAATTTTCAATTTCCACCACGAATCGCCTTTGTATTTAGATAGAAACTATGATAGAAGTTATACATTTTCTAGATCTGCAAACTCTTTTGTCACATCTTTATTCCAGCAACTTGGATCTATCTCCCACAACTGTTCAATTGTCCAGCCTCCAACGGTGATCCACACAGAGAACAAAATTGCAGGATTAATGTTTTCTTCTTGTGCTTGCAAGAATAATGAATTCTCTACAAAATTGTAAACCCTAATAAGTTATTTATATAAGCTCAAATAGGCTTGGCCTGACCCCGTCTAATATTTAATTAATTCATTTAATTAAATTCGGCCTGTAAATTAATTAATCCAATTAATTAATTCGTGCCGATAAATAACCAACCCAATTAATTAATTTATCCAACGATTGTTAAATTCTCTTTTGTGTGCGACCCATCAGGTTCTCGATCACGATACTTAACGATGTGAAATATTATTTTTATCTAATCAAAATTGATAAATTAAAACAACCTTTTAATTTATCATCAATTCACACTCACCGTCTCAGATTAAAATCTAGCAATGTATCAGAGTAATACATATGACGAAAAATGTCACGTGGTATGACAAAACCAAATTTGTTCGTTTACCGTGAAACTATAATCACTTCTCAATATGATATGATCAATTATGAGTTATGAAAGTGCGTCAATCTCGATTATTAATCATATCTTTCACTCTACCATTAAGTCAATATAAGTTGAAAATTTCTTTTCAATTTATGAGTACACATTGGCCAAGGATTTCTTTATCGATTTAATTGAATGAAACGTAGATTATAATCTTTTACTATCTAAGAGTGACGAATACTCTATTCGTTATTCACAACTTTCATACGATTCTTGACATACCCAAACAATGTCGTATTAGCGACCTTTGGCAGAGCAACATCCAATACCGCCAAAGTATGACTGTCCTCATATAAGGTATCATAACGACCTCATGTCAAATGACTAATTCCACTACCGAACGTTAGAGATTAACCACTGACACTTAAATAGTTATCCATGTGAAATCTTTCAGTGGGTCTTCAATGTTTTGTTCAATAACAAAATATCCACGTGTTCATTTAAGTGTCATTATATTTTAGTTTGTGAGATCAGCTACTTACTTCACAAGTAAGAAATGCCACACGTGATGGTCTATCCGTAATAACAATATTCGTATTTCGTTATTACTTACGACCACTAATAATTTAAGATTCAATCATATGTAATTTGTATCTTACAATCACAACTCCTTGTGATTAATAAATTAGGAAGATTTGAATCTACGGACTCTATTATTAATTTAATTGTCTATTAATTAAATAATAGATATATCATTAAATTGCATTAATTATATATTAAAAGTATTTATATCCAAAATTGATTGGACATAGGGTATAACACTTACACCTCGCACAACAAAGAATGTAAAGCTACCCCTCCCAAGATATGAGGAAGAGAGACACCAGCATCTCTTCCCCCCGAAAGAAGATTTGAGGCTAACCCCCGAGGCCATGCTTGGGTCCCCCTGTAATATCATAACATTAGATAGATGTAAAGTAAATCCTTAAGTATCGTTGGAGAACAAGGATCCATATGTTAGTTTATTCTTCAACATATCTTATTTTGGTGGGGTCTATGGGGGTGGGGTGACTAGGACGGGGGTGAAAGTTAGGATTGGGGAAGAAAAATAAAGTTCTAAAGGTTTGGGATTGTAGGTGGTACTAATACAAGTTTTGGCGTAGTTCGCTAAAAAATAAAAAGTTTAAGATCACACTTGCTATTATTCCTTTTTAATTTTGGTCATTTTTACTGTTCTTTAACTCATAACTTAACGGATTTGGACCGTAGGGAGTGTGGATCACACTTTAAAGATGGTAAATGGGGATTTTCCGCACCTCAAATATTGTCTTCTGTAGCTCAAGCTTCATACATGGATATTTTTTGTCAATTCCAAAATGTGAGGGGTAATGCACAATGGATCTAAAAGGTGGATAGTTTGGTGCCAATAAGCCTTGAATAAATTATGTTTTTACCGAAAAAAGGATAATTCACAAATGGACTAAAAAACAAAGTAACTCAGAATGTATAATACAATTTTTTTTTTATCATTAACTACCATTTTTTTATTTTATATTTAACTTTTTTATACTACATTTTATAACATATGTGTTATATTTTCATACACATTTCAATTTATATTTCCACCATCACAATTGTCACTGGTAACAAACACTATTACATTTGTAACACTTAATTTTATGACAATATTGTCATCGCCATTTATAGCATAATGTGTTACACAACGACAACCACTTGTAACGTACCATGTTACATTAGTAAGAACCAACACCAAACATCGCCACCATTAGCACCACCAGCTTACAATCACCTTCATAGTAAACCACCACTTACAAACCCTAAATTACTGACAATTTGAGAAAAAAATAATTTTTTAGAGAATGGGGCTCATCCAAGAGCATGATATGTGTACTTACTCATCATAAGAATGGTAAAAGTTTCTCCTCAATTTAAGTCTTAAAAGTTGATTGTCCTTTTGAACTTTGATCTTGGGTCTGTAGTCAATTAGATTGAGTTATCTCTTTGAAGACTTCTACTTGACTTACGTGCTTTAAACTCATTCTTCTTAATGAACTTTTCACAAGCTCTTTAGTTAAAACCTTTTGTAAGCGCATTTGCAATATTATCTATTGACTTCACATAGTCAGTTGATATAATTCTACTAGAGAGAGTCTTATAAAATGTTCAATGTTTTCATTATATATTACGTTCCCTCCAATAACTACTTGGCTATCACAATGAATACAGATTGCAAGGCACGTGTTTTGCGCAAGTATGACTATCCTCTAAGAAGTTTCAAAGTCATTTAGCTTCGAGTGTTAATCTGTAAAAATTATTTTAAATAATTCCTATACATGTAACATTGTTCTTCCTAAAAATATCATCTTCATCACCCATATCCTTCCTATCAAATTTGTTTGCTGACTTGGCAGCTTTGATCATGTTAACAAAATGCATGCCCTTAACGAGCATCTTTAAAGTAAAAAATTTCACACTTCAACAAATTCTTTCTTTTTTACTCTTTATTTTTCCCTTCTTCCAATAATCATTTAATGTTTTTCCCTCATTTTCAATTAATATATTTTTTAGATGAGAATATCTAAAATAATCAATATGCTATATGTAACTTACATAATGGAGCATTCAAACTTGCAATTTTATTAAAAAGCTAACATAATAAAAACAAATAGAGATTCATTTAGATCTCCAAATGAAAAGAATTAAACTCACTTTCGATTTTAAAATGTTAAAATAAATAATAGACCGAAACCTAATTTCATGAGATAGCTCTTTAAAATAAAGAGCATCTAACTCTTAAAGAATCTTGAGGATGATCCATCTATACAAAACATGAACTCAGATCTGCCAACATTATCCAATCCATAAAACATGAATTCAGATGTGCCTACATACTCCACTCTACACCTCTCATCAAAACAATGAACAATTTATAGAAAATGCATCGCTAAAATTTAATATTCACACTGACCTCTATCGTATGGATGTGTGCAAAATCAAAGTACAAGAAGAGAGAAAATTTTGAGCACAGAAAAGCAACAATTATATGAAAAGGGATAAGTTTACAACACTGCAACTCTTTCCCGGATGAGCTATAGAAGGTTCACTGAGTTCAACTTCAGTTTTCTTTTATGTTTTCTTCAAAATCAAATGTATTTGAAGAAATAGTTATAGCATATGCATAACAATTTCTGGATTTGGAACAATCAGAATACGGTCCAACCATAATTCAGTTTAAATTAAGTACCTTCCCACATGTAAGTTTTGTGGCTTAAATGAAAGGTAAAGAAAAAACTATTGTGGTTTTGCCCCATTAATAGTTGGAGCAGCACCTCTAGCTGCCTTGACATAGGCAACATACTCACTGAAGTGCATGGTAAATAAAAAGCAACAATTATATGAAAAGGAATAAGTTTACAACACTGCAACTCTTTCCCAGATGAGTTGTAGAAGGTTCACTGAGTTCAACTTCAGTTTTCTTTTATGTTTTCTTCAAAATCGAATGAATTTGAAGAAATAGTTATAGCATATGCATAACAATTTCTGGATTTGGAACAATCAGAATACGGTCCAACCATAATTCAGTTTAAATTAAGTACCTTCCCACAAGTAAGTTTTGGGGCTTAAATGAAAGGTAAAGAAAAAATTATTGTGGTTTTGCCCCATTAATAGTTGGAGCAGTACCTCTAGCTGCCTTGACATAGGCAACATACTCACTGAAGTGCATGGTAAATAAGGTGCTTTCGTAACGGGTAAGTCGAATACGCTTCCGCAGTGACTCGGTGATGGTGCTGTTGCAACCTGCCTTCCTAATCAATGAGTCAATTGCTTCTATCTTTGTCCAGCCTATATGGAAAAGGAAAACAAAAAATCAGATCCTTGAGTGTTAACGAAGAAAACATGTTGCACAAGGCTACGATTCTCTTCATAACCGAAGCAATTAGCTGGCTACAATTAGAATTTGCAAAGCCTATTTAGATCAGTTCTCTTAATGTTATGGAAATAATTAGTGATCAATATGTCGTCTGCAACTTAAAGGGCTTGTTTGATTTTTATTTTTTGAGAAGTGATAGTGTAAAGTGATTTTTTTGGTTAAAAAGTAGGGAAAAGATCAGGGTCCACATGCAAAATTATTTATTGGGAGAATAGTTTTAGGAAAAATTGATTTTGGAATAAACAAAATCAAACAAAAGCATGAAGTTTTTTCCTCAATATTAATCTATTATGACATTTTTGATCTTATTAGCAAGTTCAAAAAGAAACTATCAAACAAGTTGCCTTGGAAAAGAAAGAAGATATAGCTTGTTCAGATTATCTCGTGATTGTGAATAAGAGAGAGTCCTATCAGTCAACGCATTCCTCGTCATTACTGATAGGCGTATATCATGCCTTCCTCGTAGACTCAGTTACTTTACGGAGAGTCTCCATCAAGTGAATCTTTATAGGGCTTAAAGGGCTTGGAACTTTTTGTTTTGCTACATTGTTACTATTATTTTCTGTTATGAACGAATAGTAAGCATTAGAAGTTACCTTCATGAGCAGCCACCTCAGGCAGGTACGTGGCACTTCGCCTAGCATTATGGTCAGGATCAGTAAATTCAATAATCATTCCATGCTTTCCAACCTGCATAAACACACTAATCCATGAGAAAAAAACGATTTTCTTCCTGGGGATTGGCTTTATTTAAGTCCTGCATACAGAATTCAGTCAGGCGCAAGTCTTAGCTTTAGAATCAAGACATCTTACCTATACATCAAAATACATGGGAGTATTCCACAATCCAACTACACATTGTAGAAGGATTATAAACGCAAAATTAAGATTAACTCGTCATAATTGAATTTACAATCTGATCACCTCAGCACAACAATTTGGAAAGTATTAGTAAATAAAGGGATTAGCGTGAAAAACAAATGCGAACAATCTATTATTGCAGCATGTAAGACAACATATTTATAGAACTCTAACATAAAATTTGGGGATAGAGTATGAATTATAGTTGTCAATACAAAAGAAACTAGAAAGCTAAATAGTTTATAACCCTTTGTGTTGAGCGTGGGGACAACTTAGTATTAAATCACTTGATGCATCTGAGACTCAGTGCAATTATAGTCACTAGAGTTGACCATCTCTTGTAGAAGGAATCTTCTTTAACAAAATTCTGGATTTATAAAAACGAATATTTGGCCATTGGAACAATCGAAAGAATATTAGTCAGCCAAAGGACATAAACTGAGTATCCTAATCTTCTATTACTGATTTACTCTTAGCGAGTGTAGCAGTAGAAGAGGATTCGTCCAATTGTAACTGAACAATATATAATACAAGTAGAAACAGTTACCAGAGAAAACACAATAATTTATAATGCAAGTAGAAACAGTTACCGGAGACAATAACACAAAGATTTATACTTCTGATGATAATTGTCCACAAAAGATTAAAGAACCTATATCCTGTCACTGATCGTATATGTAACATTCCATTTTGCCCCCATCAAATTATTCAAAGCAACCTGTTTGCATTTGTGGGTTAAAAATGATGTGAAATTATATGATCGTGCAGTGACCATATACTGAATCAGAATATGACCAAATACCATCAAACATTAACAGAATGCATACTGTTGTTTGAACTTATCAAAATCTTGATCTAATACACGAAGATACTGTTGTGCAGTATGATACTGCATGCTAGTAGGATACAACGTATGTATCATAGTATACATGATCAAATAGCATATGCAGCATGCTAAGCAACATTGGAGGAACATAAAATGTTACACTAGTTCTAAGATGAATGCTAAGGTACTAACATAGACTGCATATTCAGATATAAACCACACATGGCACACATAAGAATGCTAGGAAATTCATAAGTTGGAACCCTACCTCCCAGTCAAGGTAGTCTCGAGCAGTCTCATAATTTGTCAGAATGGAAACTGTACATTGCAAGTAAGGCAATTCTTTAGCTTGTATTGGGGGAAATCGACGATCCCTAAGGGCACTGCAAAATATTAAAAATGAAGAATTAAATTAGTCACAGCTTTAAAACTGTTGGAAATTTAATGAGATGTTTCCAACAAGGAATTAATCACAAAATTACAACACACTAACGAAATAGTTACTCAAGAATACAATGGAGATGTCTAAAGTCCTTGTAAAAGTCAAGAACCTAAAACAAAATAAAAAAGTGGAACCCACCCATTTTACAAAGATACTCTTCAAAGCGATGAGAGTACTTAGTACAAGATCAAGTACAATTGTTGACATAGTTGGCCAAACTCCAGGCTGGTGATATGCACAAAGAAATCAAGAAGTACAAAAGACAACCAGGGGTAGGGAAAGGAAAAAGTTGAACCCCCATAACATCTAATCACTGAAGAGCTACAACAAATAAAATTCCACGTAGATACCCATCTAACGAGTTCTAAATTTATTCCAATCTGCATTCCTAAACCACATCTGCCAGCTTTACTCCATCCACATTTTGTACTTACTCCAATCCTAGGAATATGCACACTCACAGTCTCACAAACGTAAATAATATCTGAATTCCTTCACCCCAAGACACCAAGGAAAACATAACTATAAAATTGAACAGCCAGACATAAATTCTATAAATTTATTGTGATACAAGGATGTGTAACTATCATTTAGGACTAAAATTATTGTTGCTAATCCTCACTTCATAAACAGGTGTAAAGGGCACTAAACGCTAAAAAGTTGGACTAAAGAACGTGTACAAACTAATGAACAACAATGCAGTCAGTTGCCTTTATATGAAACGGATAAGAGTTATTTGATTAACTAATAAATCCCAAAAGAAAGAAGCTAATGGAATCTAAGAGACGATTTTTTAAAAATAACCTGAGTTATTCGTGTCTGTTTTCTCAGAAATGAAGTGCACAAAGAAAAATGCAACCGATACTGCGAATTTGAAAACTTTAATGTGGAAGCACCTTGTTAGAGCATAGTCCCTAAAACCACTGATGATGCAGTGAGCTTCAAGTGTCCCAATGCATCCACGTAAACGAGGCTCCCCTCCATTCACCACTTTCTTCCAGGTCACAAATAATGGGCTGAAACCAGTGTAATTTGGGACAACAATAAAACAATTTATCCACATTATTCTGGTCCTCCGCATGCATTTCATTTATAACAAGACAAAGTTTAAGTTATTTAAAGTGTTGCTTTTACACTTCTATTAAAAATGATAGGAAAAAGAACCAGCCATAGTAGTAACTAGTAATCTAAGCACAATGCCTCAAGGAAACTGTTAAAAATTAGAGAATGCATCCTTGCGATTTACAAGAGGATAAAGAACAATTAAATCCCACAAATTTAGTGCCTGTTTGGTAAGTTTAAATTGTTTGCTACGATATTATTTTCCACCACACATTCACACAATAAAATATTCTATACACAAACCAATAAATTTTTACCTTTTTTAATATTTTAACCATACGTTCTCCAAAAAATGCAACTCAAAACTCTTTAATTTCCCTGGGTGACAAACTGGGGCTTAATTCAGAAGAAATTCGCAAGGTGCTTAATATTAATGGGTGCAGAAAATAAGATAGGAAATGGTTTCTAAGTTTATGAAATAAATTCATCCTCTATTTTTATTTATTTATTTATTATTATTTTTTTTTTTTACTTTTTATTCTTCACACCATTAAGAGAAAATTTAAGCCAAAAATAGATATCTTATATTCAACCCCAAAATTCATTTTTTCCCCCAGAAAATTGCTATCCTCCAATTAAAAGATTAAAAGAAACAAAAAAGAAATCTGCTTTTGAGAAAACTTCCGTAATGTAATGGAGATAACTAAGTAAACACAATGCACAATAAAATTCATCCATCAACACAAACAATCCAGAAAAGAAATCAAATAAATAAAATTTTGCATGCAAATTTTCTTTTTTTACAGTAACTATGAACGGAGAAAAAAGCAATAAAAAAATGTAAAAACGTAATCATATAAATAATCGATCAATTATATTCCAATAAAAATTCAGAAAGAGTATGTGCAAAAATAGTAATAACATCAAAAAATTAAGTAAATAAGAAAAACCCAATAATAATCCAACGTAATAGACAAATATCGTACTGTTGACCCTCATCGAAGGCAGGATGAGGAGCTTGTTCGCTGTTGTAGTGAGCCACCAGCGTGTCAAAGCAGTAAACTGCCATTTCACTATTTGCCGACACCATTTTTTCTTAAAATAAGCTTTTCTTTTCCCGATTTTTTCCGCAGTTCAGCGAATTGAGTTGGATCGATCTGAATTAATGATCGAAATAAGGGTCGCCGATTAAAAATTTAAAATTAATCAGGAATCGTAAAATTCTAAGACCTTTTTAGCTCAATGGTAGAGTGAGGAGCTCTCTTCTGCTTCGGATCCGAGAATAATTGAGAGAGGAAACTTGCGCTTTTGGTCACCAATAAATTATATATTATGCGTCATTTTCCATAATTGATAAAATGGACGGTTAGGATTTTTTTTTTTTTTTTTCCTCTCTTGTAAAAAACTGAACATGCTCAAATTTGTTGTTGGCATTGCACTTTCTTTGCGAGCTGAATAAATTCTTGAAAATTATTCTAATACTTGTATTCCACGAGTTGAATATTTTTTATTTTTATTTTTATTTTTATTTTTATTTTTTTTGCTTATCCACTCGCATCAAATGTAATCATTATTACTACAATGGGAAAATGTTTATCCATTTGAAATAATATATTTATTCGTATTTGTCTAAAAGAAAAGTTCTTAACGCTACAAGATAGAATTGAATAGCTTATTGTCTAATAGTAGCACGTTGATCTATGTAGCCCCTCAACGCTTAAACGCCATGTCTAACGTAAATACATCTTGCAACAAAATTTGGAACACCCGGTCCAAATTGGAAAACAAAATTTATCCACACAACATTGTTGTCTGAAGGTTCACATTGTGATTTAATAAACATTTGGATGATTCTCACACCAAAATTTTACTTAACAACTTGAGTACATCTTACCCTGAATTCGCCACACTACGCCAATCAATTACCATGATGTATTGCCATTAGTCAAGAAATCAATATATAAAGGATCAATAAAGTATTACTTCATTACATAAAAAAGATCACAAATAAATACAGAACTACTACATAGGATGTCCTGAAGAAACTGAAGGTGAATCAAATCCCAAAGCCTGTTCAAAAAAGACATGCCACATTTTTCTTATTTTTCTAACTTCCTCCTTGGACTATTGGTTTAATTTTATCAATCCGAACCGTGTCTTCTCTTTTCCTTCTCTTTGTTGTGTTTCCTCTTGTCATCTGAAGCACGAGAGTGTCGCTTCTCTCGCTTTTCATGCTTCTCGCGTCTCTTCTCCTCACGCTTCATTTTCTTTCTGCTACTTTCATCTTCAGACTCTTCTTCATCGTTCCTTGCAGGTGCGATTGGCATGGAAGTATTCATCTTCTCGAATGACTCAGACTCCAGACCGGCAGGTAAACTTGATTCTTCCCGGGGACGAGGCACCCTGCCAATGTGTCGAAAGTTATTTAACACACCTGATTTTGTGTGGGATTTCTTCTGGGAAAATGGAGAGGCAGGGGACAAGAAAAAAAGAAAACATAAGAAAGAACCATACTTAGATAAACCAAGACCCTGAACCTGAGCAGCTTCAGCATGGCCAGCTCCCAAGTCTTCTGCAGTAGAACCTCGCTTTACAAGTTCAGCAAATTCATGTTTATCTAGTCGATTACCCTGAGACTTTTTTGCCCGTTTAGGAGCTAAGCCTAGAGCCTCTCTCATGGCTTGCTCCTCTTCCTCCTTGATCCTTCGTATCTCTTCTTTAATAGCCTCTGAATTTGCAGCCTCAGATTTTTTATCACGAGCATACCAGTGGAGGTCTTTCCCTGGAAGAATATAGGTTCAGACATAATATAATCCGAAATAAACCAACTAGTTATGTTTAAACCTCAAAAAGCGAGCACTCTTTAATAATGTATTCTCGGACAGAGTAGAGAAAGCTAAAAACTTCAGATAGAAATCACTCGGAAGTGCAGTTTCAAGGTTAACTGGTAGGAACACCAGAACTTTATGATGCACTCATGGCTGGAAAAGTTTTCCGTAAGATGCATGTAGGCTTTGTGGAATACCACCAGCACAAAAACTCAAGGATTTGTTTCCCCTTTACAGTTTAATATTATTTTATTTGTTCTTCTGATCTGCTGTAGAGGGCAAGAATTAAGTTTTTACACAATCCTTCTAGGACCAATGTTCTTATTCTTGTTGGATTCAAACTTAGTGTAGTAGGCTCTTGATCTAAATTCAGAAGTTCAAATTGAAATTTCAAATTTCCATAGACGAATGCACACAAACGACTTACCTTGGTTTGGAAGCAAGTTTGGAGATGTATTTTAAACAGAAGCAAATTCTTAGAGAACGAAAGGTACTCATTAGTAATGATAGTATGATACTAAGAGTTGTGCTACAATGGTAGAAACAACTTGAAGGATAGGGATATCACAACAAAGTAACACACTAAACAGAGAATCGCGCTTTGGAGTTGATGCAAAATTTGAGAAGACATTTTTGCCAGTTCATTATATGATGGGTTTATACAGATGAGACCGTAGTTTGTGTCAAATGGACCTTGAGTTGAAGACTATTCTACAAATTCTGTAACTTATCAATTCAAACTGGCATCCATGAGACTGATGAGCAAGTAAAAAATGGATATATGTCAAGCAGCCATAAGTGACAAGATGAGTATTCTTCTTCTTTCCAATATCGAAGATGCATAACAATATGCTTTACAAACAAAGGAAAGACAAAGTTGGTACAGAGCTACGAATCCTATATTGCATATAGCCCAATACATATATTGGGTACAAAACTACTCAAATTCATGTCTAAAAGTCCCAGATATGCAACAATAATGTGAAATTAACCGGCAAAGTTGCTGAAGGATCAAAAAAGGATAAAAGGGAAGGATTTGATACATGTTGGAGGTGTGAGAGATGCTGACAGGTCTCGATACAATCTGCCCTTTCATTTGTCACAAGATGGGTTTTGATTCTCATTCACATCCTCATCATCAAGTTCATTATTAGAAGTTAAAACTAGACATATTGATTTCGAAGAACCTATTTAACACAAATATGCAAAGAAAGAAGAATAAGATCCAGCACATATCCTAGGTGAGACTTCACTTATCATAAGTTGGACATGTCCACGAATCTCTTGACCAAGAGGAGTAGAAATTCATTAGTTGCTACTAAAAGAAGAAATTTGATGCTTCTGCAAGCTTTGGCAGCTCCTAAAGTGGAAGAAAAATTTGGGGGTGATGACTTCAGTAACAAAGTCAACTATATGGGAAGGCACATACTTGATCATCAACATAGTAGTAGCAAAAATATAGTATCTAAAGCAGCAGTAGCCGAGTAAATAATTCCCAGGGAAAACATCCTGATCCTTACAATAATCCTAGTGTTTAACATTGATGACGTTCCAGTTACTAGTAGGTATTTGGTACACATTGATATGGGCGAGCCTTGACAAGATGAAGTTTGGTCTTATCTCCTACACTCATACCTATGGATACTTCTCATATCTTATGGGAACAAACAAAAACTATAATAAGAAACCAAGTACTTGCACTTTCACTAGGACAAAAAAGAACCAGTTGAAAGAGGATCCAAAAGATCATACGCACAGCACAAAAACTAGTTTTCTCAACCAAAGTAATATCCGAACAATAACTCAACAACTAGACATACAAGTAACATCACTATGTAATATTATTTGAATCTAGCTGCACAAGGGTAGCTATCTAACATATATACATGTATCTTGATACAAAGACTTCAGCTTTACTGCTCACTTTTGTTGATAAATATAGAGTGAAGTTCACTTTATATTTCTACACACACGAATCTGTATCATCATCATAAGACATTTGCAAAAAGTTGAGTTAGACAAATTTTTTCCAAAATGACAATGGGATTAAGCAAACACAAGGTTCATTGGCGATGAAAGAAAGAAATGGATCTCGTGTTCCAAACAAACTCTTAGGGCATATTTTGAAAACTAAAATAGAAATGAATAGTGCCAACTCACGACTCATCATAATCTTCTAAAAAGGGATAAAAGCATATGTAGATTTATTTTTTACATATGGGCACAGAAAGAGGATAGAGGAAGTGAGAGCTGCAACTATGGAAGCATTTGCAATGGCCAAGAGTTACTTCTGTCGTGCATTCCATGGAAAAAGCAGAAACTCAGAAATAAGGAAACTAGAAGTCAGTTCATTCTAGTCAGAGATGGATAGAGTGATGGTTAGTTAATGACCAGGAAAGATGGTAAAAAGAGAACAAAATCACAAGCTTAACTACTGAATATCCAGTACAAGCCAAACATATACACACACATAGAGAGAGGTTTTTACCTTTCTGCCATCTTCCAACGGGTGCTTTGAGACTGTGACCTAAATAGTTTTCTCGATGTTTATCAGCTTTCACATCTTCCCAGCTAAACTCTGCAAATGAAAAACAATTATAAGTTAATGAATATTCCATGACAAAAGCATTTTCATCTTTATATGCTAAGGAGGCATAAACAATTCCAAAGAGAAGAAAGAAAAAATTAGATAAGTAAACAAGGTCTGAAACCACGTAGAACTTATTTTAGTAGTTTAAAAACTCACGGAACCATTGGTCAATAGGTACTTTATTTATGAAGACGAAGACAGATTGCAATTACATAATTTAGATCTTTCCCGAACCCCCATGGATGAAGTAAAGCATTATAGCTAGCCCACATGTTGACTCACATTCCAGAACTTCAAAATCGGTAGTAAATTGACACAAACTCACCTGAAATTAACGTTCAGATTGACTCGTTCATTTCATTGTTAAACCACGCCACAATTTCACAATTACAACTTTTTTTCTTTTTTCCACGTCTACTCAATTATTTTACCAGTACATAAATCTCATTCTAAATACTAATACGGAGTATTAACGAATTTGTGAGCTGTCATACACCTTTTTTATGCCTCATCATATCAAACCCTAACATCCTTACCCTTAAATTGTACTGTTGCAACTATGACGGAAACCAAATTTCAAAACAATAACACAAATTCATAATTAAATTTATTCAAACGCAATTACAACACGTCTAATTCACAAAGAATTCTTGATTTTGTATAGCGCATAGGAACCCTAAAATTGTGGAGCAAAATGAAGGAAAAAAGAACTTACGATCACGACCACCACGAACTCCACCTCTCGACGGATGGTACATCTTCTCCCTCTAGGTGTAAGTATTTGTATGCCTTCGGGGCGGGGCGGGGCGGGGCGGGCGGGAGAATTTTCGATCTGCCGAAGAGAGGAGATCAACGGAAAGAAAGAGACCGTGGGCTTTACAAAAGAGCCCTTACATATACACGTAATTTGTTTGGAAACCCCAAATACTACGAGGCATGGTAATTTTGCCCATTGGCATTTTCATCCTCAAAGGTTGACTAACAAACACATGTTGGTTCACAATCCCAAGGCATGTTTGATAGGATAAAGTATACAGACTAAAGAATAAAAATTAATTAAAATATTAACTAGTCTGAATTTGATTGAACCAACAAATTACATCACACGATCTAGTGTAGCAATGCCTTGAAAAATATTAATTATTATAAAAAAGAAGATAGATTTGTGTGTTTTATTGTGAATCAATACCCCATATTTATATGTTGCAATCAAAGTTGCAGGAGGGACAACGATCTTCCACAAATACTGCTTTATTGACAACATTAAGCCCTTGTCTAATCCCCAGTATTTTCGAAATATCTCTCTTATTTTCAACTATATATTTTTCAATAAAATAATATTACATGCAAATATAAAAATTTTCCTAATTTAACCACACATTATCTATCAAAACACTATTTCAAAATGGATTATTTCCAAAAAGATGGGACTCAAACATGCTTTAGTGATATATTGAGAATTTTCAAATCTAAGAAATGTAAGCAAAACTATTATATAGTTAGTTTCAATTACAATTAATGTTAAGTGTTATAAAATAATAAGAATTATGTTAGTTTTGTAGAAGGCAGTGTCTAGAAGCAGTGTCAAAAGATAATTTGAAAGGAAATAATTGGATAAAAAAGTTGACAATATTTTAAATCGACAAATTATAGAATGTGATGTGATATTATGTAAACCTTTATATCAACCTTGATGTACATGTAGAAAGATTTAAATAATAAATAATAATGAACGGTTAGCTGGTCTTACTTTTTTGCTCACGCTAAAAGAGTGTCTTTGGTTCGAATTGTAACTCTAATTAGAATCATTTTTATATGAGTCCATTTCTTATACCAGTTGCTCCTTTTCTACAAAATTTTTAACACGCTTGCATCATGAAATTCTATCAATTGGGTTAGCAAAAGTATTTCTTATTTTTTAACTCTTATCTATATTTCAAAATGTTATTATGTTGTAGCTCTTAAGAAGCACAATTTAATATGAATAACATGAAGAAAATAGTGTTGATATACTTGAAGAATCACAAGACAACTAAATAAATATTCAAGAAGAATATGTTGAGAATACATATTTTTAATAGTGCACAATATATGTATAATAGCTCCACCAAATTGCACTAAGATGGACACGGTAGAATTTGAAGAATACATGTTTGATTTTAACTCTTTTATAAAATATTAGTTCCTGGCCATGCAATGCATGGCTTAAATTTTGTTTAAGGTGATATTAGTGTGATGATTTATATTAGTATTGAATTTTTATTGTAATTCACTATTTTTAGCTTGTTTCATTTACTATGCTCTAATAAAGATTTTCATGTAGAATTTTTTTTGAGCTGTTTAGATGGAAAATAGTAGTTATACTTTTCAATAGGCAAATTCGCAGTAATAATTTTGTTTTGTTCGTGAAATAGGTTTTTTAAGTGTATATGAAAACTTGGTTATTATTATTTGCTGCAAATTATGTGAAACGTTTGTGCTGTAATTATTCTCAAAGTTCATGACATTTCCCAACGAGTAGCAAAAATAAGTGCAGCAGTATATCTGTTCATAAATATATTAGAAAGTTATATTTAAGGTATAAAATGAGAAGTATAAATATGGATTTGCTTTTATTTGTCCTAAATGAGTTGGTAAGAAGTATTTCTCTACGATTTCATCTGCAGTAGTTAATAAATAAATTATATTATTATAGATTATTTAACTTAATCTTATAAATATATAGACTGCTAAAGAAATTACTATGAAGGTTGATAAAAATTCTATAAAAATTCATATGATCAATTTTTTTAATCGTTTTATTGAATAATGATAATACATTTAACGAATATATAAATTATTTGCATAATGATTGTATTTAAAACACGTTGAATTAAACTTGTATAGAAAGAAAATTGAAATACAAATGGGATTATAATGATCACTTTCAAAAGTTGAATTAAGCTTGTAGAGAAAGAAAATTGAAATTCAAATGAGATTATAATGATCACTTTCAAAAGTTAATAGCGTTATTACAAAAGGAAGAAAATAAAACATTGATAAGAAATTGTTAAAACGGCAATTCTTTGATATACTTGCTATTTGAATACACGATACTTACATGATGGGTGATGAAAAGCTTTTTGTTCTTGGTTTCGACATCAATCATGATAGGGCATACCTATTAAAGCAAGAGAAAAGCTATTAGCAGAAGTAGAAAGAAACAAGACTAAAGTATATGTAGAAAAAATTGAGATTGAATTAATTAATGAATATAGACATTTAATTTGTTAATGCTTTTACCTTATTATAACTTTTGCTTTACATGATGGGGGCATTATAAAAAAAAGAAAAAAAAAAGTTACCTGCTTTGTTATGGTTATGATAAAAATATGGACGGAAAAAATATTCATTTTGACAGATATCTTTGACAATTTTTCGTTTGTATAAACGTATTTTCTCAGTTGAAACTGCTTCTAATGGATATCCGAAAATGAAGCATTCAATGTATTTGAGAAGAAGAACTTCAGAGTTTGGCCTACAGAAAAAATAGTTTGAAGTTATTTTATAGTAATGCTATAAATGTAAAATAAAATTGAATAGAAAAATAAATATTAAAGTAAATTGTTGAGATACTTACCCATTATTTTGAGAAGGTAGATACGGTATGATTTCCAATTTCATACGTTTATTTCTATGTTTTCGTAAATTTGGCTTCCCGAAGAAAATGTCAGTAGCTATTAATAATGATTGTACTACATCAAAAACTGGGGCTGCACGTAACTTGATTGCATCTGGTGTATGAATGTTGTGGCTGCAATCATATACTTGAAATTTCCACTTTTCAAAATCAACAAGAAAAATAAACCAACTGTTGTCTGGATATGCGACTGGAATCAATAAATAGTTGTGTGTTATCCAGGTCGAGCAAATGTAGGTAATTCTCCTTTTGTGTATTGCTCTAATGCCTGGAAATTATTCACAAAAGCGGTTGCTCCTCGTTTGATCATTGTGTACCAATGTACACACTCATTCTCGAATCGAAAGTCCATGATTGCATATTTTTTGGAAACCGGGGAAGATGTATCATAAATAAGTTTTCGCAATAGCTTTAATTCTATATCAATATGCTAGTAAAAAAAATTTAAATTAGCTATATTAATAACGAAGTAAAATTAATTAAGATTGCTAAAGTTGACTTACCACAATATTTATATCTTTAATTTGATTTATTATATTCATCAGCGAATGTCTTGCGTATTGATTGCCGATTTCATCTTTTCAGTATTCGCTATATAAGAAAAAATGAAATTGTTATTAAATAAGTAAAATACGAAATAGAATATTTAAGTTAACGAAGTTAATTTTAATATCTTACTCTGATGGATTTTCTGATATCCATTCTCTAATGTTTTTGTATTTGTCGATGTTATAATCTTCTAAAGTATTCGTTGCCGTTGGTGATGGAGATTGTGTCTCTTTTTGCTTACCTTTTTTTTCTTTTGTTGATCTTTCGACGTCTTCTACATGTTCAGATGTTGAAGGCATTTCAAATTCAGCTTGATTTGTTGGAGGGGGCAAATCATGTTGTACAGAGGCTACAATTGATTCCATATGTGATTTCCAATTGGTTAACTGATTTTGCATATTTTGATTTTGTTCATCAATGTAAGACTTCATTAAACCGAAACTGGTATCTACATAAGAATGCATGTCTGATTGTATGCCCTGAAAATGTTCCTCTTGATTTTTTTGCTGCACTTCAAAAAATTGTTTTTGATTGTCAATAAGTGTCTGACAGAGAGTTTGTTGATTTTCAAGAATCATATAATACCGAGCTTCTTGCTTTGTTGCTTCTTGAACGATCTGTGTCTTCAAGCTGTCGTAGAAATCAAAGACATCTTGTCTGTGTACATTGAACATCTGTTCCATATCTTGTTTAGTTACATAGTCTGAAGTACCGGAAGAAGTAGATTCAATTCTATTTGAACTGTGTACAGTTGTTTCTTGTGGATGTATGTTATATGCTCGAATTTGTTCTGTTGTATTTTCCAATTCACCATTGACAATGTTGTCTAGTGTACAATGTTGGTTGTCAGTTGGTAGTGAAAGAGTTGTATACCAGAATGTTTCCAATTCTGCTTCAGTAGGATTTAACATTGCAATTACTGTAATCTATTATTGTAATATTGTAATAAAATATCAGACGTATTCTCTAAAATTTATTTATAAAGAATGAAAGATATATTTAATTGTATACTGAAATGAACATACCTCTTCAGTAGCTAAAATTTCTTTAATAACATTTTTCGCTAATACCATTTGAGGCTGCCATTTATGCATTCGTGGACATTTTAAACTTGTATGGATACGGTGACCAAATTGTCGTCCAATTTTAGGAAAAGCTTCGTATATCCAATACTGAAATATAAGTAAAAAGGAATATTAACGTTTTTTACATGATTAAATTATATCGAATAGGGAATAAATGTAAGAAAATTACCTGGAATACAAGTGGATAACCATGCAATGAATATTTACATTCTGCTTGGTTATTTTGTTGCATTCTTCGTATTCTTTCAAGCTGTGATTCTTGTAATGAATGTAATAGAACAAAATACGCCTTACGTCCCCATGGATACATAAGAAATTCATCAAGCTGTTCAACCATTCCAAGAGTTCTGTAATCGATGTGTCTTCCAGTTGGTTTTAAAACACATTCGACAAACATAACTAATCC